TGACAACTAATGAAAACTCCAAATTTGGTATCACAAAAAATTAGAATATTCTGAAAAGGCTGAATATAGAAGACACCTGCTGCCACTCTAATCAGCTGATTTACTCAAAACACCTGCAAAGGCCTTTAAAAGGTCCCTCAGTCTTGTTTTGAAGGCACCACAATCATGGGGAAGACTTCTGACTTAACAGCTGTCCAAAAGACAATCATTGACACCTTGCACAAGGAGGGCAAGACACAAAAGGTGATTGCTAAAGAAGCTGGCTGTTCGCAGAGCTCTGTGTCCAAGCACATTAACAGACAGGCGAAGGGACGGAAAAAATGTGGTAGAAAAAAGTGTACAAGCTCTAGGAAAAACCGCACCCTGCAGAGAATTGTGACGACAAACCCATTCAAAAATGTGGGGGAGATCCACAAAGAGTGGACTGCAGCTGGAGTCATCGCTTAAAGAACCACCACGAGGAGACTCATGAAAGACATGGGATTCAGGTGTCGCATTCCGTGTGTCAAGCCACTCTTGAACATGAAACAGCGCAAGAAGCGTCTCGCCTGGGCCAAGGACAAAAAGGACTGGACTGATGCTGAGTGGTCCAAAGTTATGTTTTCTGATGAAAGCAAGTTCTGCATTTCCTTTGGAAATCAAGGACCCAGAGTCTGGAGGAAGAGCGGAGAAGCACAGAATCCACGTTGCATGAGGTCCAGTGTAAAGTTTCCACCGTCAGTGATGGTGTGGGGTGCCATGTCATCTGCCGGTGTTGGCCCACTCTGTTTCCTGAGGTCCAGGGTCAATGCAGCCGTCTACCAGGAAGTTTTAGAGCACTTCATGCTTCCTGCTGCTGACCAACTTTATGGGGATGCAGACTTCACCTTTCAACAGGACTTGGCACCTGCACACAGTGCCAAAACCACCAGCACCTGGTTCAAGGACCATGGTATCCCTGTCCTTGATTGGCCAGCAAACTCGCCTGACCTTAACCCCATAGAAAATCTATGGGGTATTGTGAAGCGGAGGATGCAATACGCTAGACCCAACAATGCAGAGGAGCTGAAGACGACTATCAGAGCAACCTGGGCTCTCATAACACCTGAGCAGTGCCACAGACTGATCGAGTCCATGCCACGCCGCATTACTGCAGTTATTGAGGCAAAAGGAGCCCCGACTAAGTATTGAGTGCTATACATGCACATTCTTTTCATGTTCATTCTTTTCAGTTGGCCAACATTAGAGAAACAAACATTTTTTCATTGGCCTTTAGAATATTCTAATTTTCTGAGATACCAGATTTGATGTTTTCATTGGTTGTCACCTATAAATATCAAAATTAAACGTAATAAACATCGGAAATACATTGGTCTGTGTGCATTGCATGAATATAATGTACAAGTTTCACGTTTTGAATGGAATTACTGAAATATTTTCAACCTTTTGATGATATTCTAATTTACTGGCCAGCACCTGTATTACATCAAGACTGGATTACTGTAATTCATTACTCTCAGGAAGTCCACAGAATGTAGTTAAAAGTCTTCAGCTTGTCCAAAATGCTGCAGCTAGAGTTCTGATGAGAATTAAAAAGAGAGATCATATCTTCCCTACATTGGCTACCTGTTAAATTCAGAATAGATTTTAAGATCCTTCTTCTCACATATAAAGCTCTTAATAATCAAGGTCCATCATACATTAGGAATCTGATTGTTCCATACGTTCCTAACCGAGCACTTCGCTCTCAGACTGCAGGTCTACTGGTGGTTCCAAGAATATCTCAAATTAGGATGGGAGGCAGATCTTTTAGTTATCAGGCTCCTCTACTGTGGAACCAGCTCCCAGCCTTAGTCCGTGAGGCAAACACTTTGTCTACTTTTAAGAATAGGCTTAAAACATTTTTATTTGATAGGGCCTATGGTTAAAATCTGATGTTAGCCTAAATCTGGACAAGTAGGGGAGTACAGGGAGGTGGAGTGTACAGTCGGTAAAGACGGCTCTCCCTTGCCCTGCCTCCAACATGCCTACATCTAAATAGGATAGATTATCCAGTTATCTCTGCAGTTATGCTGCTATAGGCTTAGACTGCTGGAGGAGACACTGACCACTTCTCACACTCTACTGCTTTCTTCTACAGTCTGCTCTTTAACTGTACTATTTTGTGCAATTTCAGCTGTTAACTTTATTTTCTCTGTAAGTGTTTTTCTCCCCAGAAGAAGCGGCGATGACGTTCTGCTGGGCTGTGGTTGCCTCGTGGAGGGGGCCATCGACTAGCACACTGCTGCTAACCACTTAAACATTCTCTCTCTCCTGATAATAACTTTTTGGTTTCCTTGACTTTTGGTGTGCTAATACTAGTTTATCCGTTTAATTAGAGATCCACTAGGATAAATACAATAAAGTTTATCTTTCACCAAATAGAATATTTACTAAGACATCACAATATAACTATAGACACATTACTTTGTGTGTGTGTGTGTGTGTGTGTGTGTGTGTGTGTGTGTGTGTGTGTGTGTGTGTGTGTGTGTGTGTGTCTGCTCTGTCTTCTCGATCCCCAGTGAGTCGTGGAGGATGGCTGCTTATACTGAGCCAGGATTCTCTGGAGGTTTCTTCCTGTTAAAAGGGAGTTTTCCTCTCCACTGTCGCTTTATGCTTGCTTGGTATGAGGATTGCTGTAAAGTCACTGACACTAGTCAGTGACCTGATGCAATTTGCTGGGTTCCTTATATAGGAAACATTATTTCTGATTGGCTTAAAGAACTGTGAATTGGAATGTTAATTATGTGAAGTGCCTTGAGACGACTCTTGTCGTGATTTGGCGCTATATAAATAAACTTGAATTGAATTGAATATTGGAAGCATTTTGTGGAGTGCTAGGACGGTAAACTGCAGACACTATTCAGTGCTTCTACTAGTTTATAAATCACTCAATGGCATGGGGCCAAAATACATGTCGGACCTCCTTACAGCATATGAGCCTGACCCCGGCTTTCCACAGGAGCCGTCAGCAGCACGTTACTGCAGCAGCACGTCATAGCTGCTGATAGGAACAGCTGTGGTCAACAGAACCTTTTCCACCGGAGCCGTCAGCAGCCGTCAGCAGCGCGAGTCGGCCGCGTCTCAGGAGCAGCATGTCGCGGCCTTTACGCGCCGGTTCTATTTTCTACGCGCGACGCCTCTGAAACGGGTCAAGTTCGACATTTTTGGGGAAGGAAAGACAGGAAATCGGACACGGAAAAGGAGCGAAGCTCCCGAGATTTTCAGAATAAAGAAACATACTGCCTTCCGGTTGCTTTCCTTTTAAAAAAAGTTACTAACTGTGCGTCCCCGTGAGAAGATATCACCTAGCTAGCGGTCTCCTTTGTTTTTCAGGTCCGTATTGGCGATTATAAAACGGACAGAACATAAAACACAAACATTTTGGAGCCATGTTGTAGTTTTCTCCTGCTTGTTGTTGTGTTTACTGACGAAGTCACTCGTGTGACTTCGTGCTCGGTCGGTGACAGCTGCTCCCCTGCTGCTTCGCGTCTCGTGGGAAGGGCCAAGCAGCAGCTTACACGAGCAAAACGTGCTGCTGCAGTAACGTGCTGCTGACGGCTCCCGTGGAAACCCGGGGTGAGTGTCCAAGGGTTACACACCCAGCAGGGCTCTGAGATCCTTAGGAAACAGTCAGCTGGTAGAACCCCAGATTAGAATCAAACAAGTTGCAGCTGCTTTAACTGCACACAGACGGAACCAGCTTCCTCATGACCTCAAACATGCCCCAACTCTAGTAACTTTTAAATCAAAATAGAATATGCAAAACACATTCATCAGTTTTTGAACAAATGTTTCTTATGCTGCACCTTCTGCACTGTAACCGCTTGACCTTTAACTTTGCCTTTTGATCTTATTCTTTCATCTAATTTTATTCGTATATTTTAAATTTGTTTTTAAAATCTGACGTTTAATGTTGTCACATTGATTTTAATGTTTTATGTACTTGCTGAACATCATCTGAGCTTTTCTCCCCTCACAGAACAACTTACAAGGCATTCATTCCTACTAGAGACCACTAAAAATATGAGTGAAGTGGACCTTTAAAATTCTGTTGCAAGTTGATTTTTAAAAAGGCTCCTCTCTGCAGAACAGTCTAAAAAATATTTAGTAGCTAGTAAAATTAAAACCCATCCAGGAACGATTTGTAATGTTAATAGAATTGAGGCAGAACAAGGCAGGAAACAAGATAATCAGACCAAAAAAAACACAAAGAAATGTGTCATAATATTAAAAAAGTAACGGAGGGTTTCTAGCGATGATAAAAAACTTACAATGACGTTCTGCAGAAGTTAAACTACTTTTCAAATCGTGAAATCACCATAAAAGCAGATAAAGTGTTATGTAAATGAGAATTAATTGCTTCGAGGTTTGTGATCAGTCTAATTCGCAATATCAAAGGAGCAGAAGGACGTTTGCAGACCCCTCAAGCTAACACAGCAAATAAAACAGATTTGTCTCTCCATTCCCAAGGCTTGGGATGTCAACACAATTTTTGCCAAATACTGGACCTAAAGAGCTACTCTGGCACTGAGACAGTCTCTAATGACACACTTTAACACCTCTAAGGTGTATCGAAGGGAGTATTTTGCCTTCGGCTTGCAGTTTCTCACGAGGGCTTGCTTGGTGAGCAAACAGCAGGAGAGCTGGACTAACAGCAGGCAGTTTCCAGGTGTGAATGTATGAACCTATGAAAAAAAAATAAAGGGCTAAAGATATCATTTAACTAGCGTGGGTGAAAGGTTGTAGAATATCCTCAGCTCCACTTTCCTGTCTTGGATGACAGAAATTTTGTGGACGTGATGTGCCTCGTGTTTTGAACAATCATGAAGAAACAGATCAAATTATGATATTTGAGATGTTTAAAAAAAGATTAATCATGAATCAGAGAGAAATGTGAGCGGGGGAGCAGTGAAACAAAAGCAGCAGGATCGATGCAAAAGTAAAGATGTGGATCTACAGTTTGGACAGTGATGCAGTACCTCTGAGGGTTGGGCTCGTTGTGTTTGTCTCTCTCATGCTTAATCATTCTGTAGCGGCCGATGCGAACGTCTGGCCTGGACACCTTCATCCCATTGAGAGTGATCCTGCAACACAAACAGTAGCAGAGTCAGGAGGGGAAGGGAAACGCCAAGGCTGAATGAGAAAACGGACAAATGGAGACGCAAAAGGGTACAAAAGAAGAGAAGAGAAATTTATTACTAATAGTAATAAATGCAAACCTAATCTATTTAGTCCAAACTGATGGAAACCTGAGGGGGGGGGGGGGGGGGGGGGGGGTGTAAAAAACTGCAATATATATACATATATTTAGTATTATATGTTCGTTTTGCTTGATTGTGTGTCTACATGCAAACTGAAATATGTACTCATAGTTTCACAAACTGTCACTCATTATTCAGAACGTTTTCTCCAACAGACTCACTGATGTCACTCCTGGGGCGCTGGAAAAAGCTCCCCTGAGCTCCAGCTAGCCAGCCACTCATGTTTAGTTGCTAGGGAGAACTGGAGAATTTTTGGCCAATCAGCATCTCTATACATTTCATCTTAGGGGAGCTGGGCAACAGCGCCCCTGCTACAGAAAACAGCTAGCTAGCGTCTCTCTCTCTCTCTCTCATTCACAGAAACACTCACTGCTGGTTTATCTGGATAGAGACAAAACCACACCTGTAGATGTTGCAGTAAAATGAGTTTATTTTTCCATGAGGATATCTACTACACGAGCTGCATGGTGGCGCAGTTGTTAGCACTGTTGCCTCGCAGCAAGAAGGTTGCAGGTTCGAAACTCGGCTGCTACTTTTCTGTGTGGAGTTTCATGTTCTTCCCGTGCATGCGTGGGTTTCCTCTGGGTACTCCGGTTTCCCCCCACTGATCACAACATGCTCTATAGGTTAACAATTGTACGTCGCTTTGGATAAATAAACACAAACATACTTCAACCTACTGGTGGAACTGAGTATTGCACTTTGGTGTGCATTTGCTCTGAGCGGATGACTAAGACCCATAGGCTGTTGGAGACCGAAAACTCAAGCTGGAAAACAAACTAGTGTAAAAAATAAAATGTGAATGAGGACAAAACTGGACATTATGGTTGGTATGTGTGGTAGAAAACATCTCCATCCAGCTGTGTGAATTACTTGCTTTTAAGACAATTGTGGGGTGGCACTGGCTCCGAAGGTAGAACTAGTCATCCAATGAGCAGAGGGTTGGCAGTTTGATTCCAGCTTCCTAATATTTACTCTGTTGTTATGCATCATTGGGCACAACTTTACTCACCTTCCCTAGGTGTGGATGTTGTTAATTTGTTTGAGTGATCTTAGGGTCACACGAACATGTTAAATCCATGCGCGCCCCTTTTTTGTTATAATCTCCATTTTGTACTTCTGGACAAAAGTCAGATGAGACGGTCAGGATTCTGCTTGTTGTAAAGTGTCTGCATCAGCATTGGCATCAAACATATATGATGCAAAGATAAACATGAAAAGAAGACCTGATGTCATCTAACTGTTCCATTCTGGGAGCTGTGGATCTGCCACGCAACAGCTGGGAAAAAAAACAAGCCACCTGGATTTACTGTCTGAACAAATTTAAACAAAAACAGCACTGCAAGTTTGAGGCAGAGAATTTGAGGCAGAGAAGTTTCAACTCAAGGGCAAATCTGGAGAGAGATTTATATCTAATGCAACAACAAATGGAGTGTAGACAACAAAAATGACAGATCTGTTCCAGCGTAAGGCCCGGCTTAAACCCTGAGCGTGAGAGAGACATTGATATTCATATCTCCAGTGAATGAAGCTTATATGTGGAGTGAATGAACAATTCTCACTTACTGTAGCTCTCTGGTTCCTGCAATCTCTGTGTCTTAAAAAGCATTCATGCCTGATATTGCCCCTCAGCACCAGCTCACCTACTCTACACTCCAAAATTAGACATCTTATAGCTCTCTTCTTCTTTTCTCCACTATTTAGCCTTTGAGTAGGTTTTTATTTTTATTTTTATTCATGCCTTTTTGTTTTCAAATCTGTACATTCCTCTTGCTTACGTATGTCTGTGAAAACCAACTATTTGGAAGAGGCAAGGATTTATATTTTCTAGGCATGGTGCAAAAGCGTCTAAAACTACATTTGAGACAGATTCTCTTTTCTTGGTTGAGGAAAAATGAGTTTATTTGCTCCGAGGAAACCTTTCTGGGAACACAGTCATATCTCACTGTTATGTAGCTGTGCAAGTGAATTACTACTTTGTCATTTTTTCTCACAATATCAAGAAATAGTTTCCTTTCCGTGATTAATGTGTAGCCATCTTGTATATTATTACTTTAAGAGAGAAATATTGTTTTAAATGAAATTCACATTTCACCCACTGGCGAGTAGCGGTGAAAGAAAGAAGTTTGCAATGAACAATTTAAATGGTTACAAACCCTGAAACGGTGAAAAATTTACCTACTAAGCTCTAAGTAATGCATATGTCCAAATTTGATAATCCTAAAGGAACAGGGGCATTTTAAAGGTGTGGTTTACTCGTTTATTTAATACATTTGACGCGTAAATCAAGGCCTTATGAGTCATTCTAAAAGATGTTATGATGCCCCTGCTCTGAGATGCAGAAGTTTGCTGGTGCAGAGGTAGGCTGAAAATAGCAGGATTACTCATTATTATGAATTATATGCACACACACGTTACTTCTGATTGGCTAACAGAACATGTTCAGCCATGTTACAAAGTCACTATCACCAACACACTCTCCGCTCTCTCTCCTCGCCACACACACACACACACACACACACACACAAACACACACACACACACACACACACACACACACACACACACACACACACACACACACACACACACACACACACACACACACACACACACACACACACAAGCATTTCTGTGGGCGGGTGCAAGCCATGGGCGAGGCTGCACACACACACACAAGCATTTCTGTGGGCGGGTGCAAGCCATGGGCGAGGCTGTGAATGCAAATTCACAATGTGACATTGATATGTGAGGGTTTCTAATCTCACCGTCTTTTCTATAAGAGGCTAATGCAGGAGATAGGCGTAGGAGACTATTTTCATGTTCAGCTTGCATTAAAAACTCAGAAATAATAATTAAAAAATGGTTTGTCAGTGAACCACATCTTTAAGCTTAGAAACTTTTCTGAAATCTCCAAAGTCAATGAGTGTGTTTCCTTCATCTTGTTCTTTCCATTAATTATTTCTACCCAGGAACATTTCTTTTCAGCATTTCTCCTACTGTGTTTTTTCTCTTCATTTCTTTCACCTGGCGTCTCCTCCCCTCTCACCCCAAACCCTATAAACATGCTTGTTTATTTACATACCAGCTAAATATAAACAAACCAGAATGCAGCTGATTAACTACTAAAAAATGTGCTAATTCAAATTTTAAACCAGCAAAATAGAAATTAAATGAAAAAATGAATCAAATATATTCCTTGTTGCTCAAGAAATTTTGCTGAGCTGGCAGAGATTCGTGGAGAACTGCCTTTGTCAGTGCAAATGTGTGTGCATGCATTTGCATAGTTGTCACCATTTATTATGTTTGAAAGTACTGTATTTGACAGTGACAAATGCAGCAACTAATTTCCCCCTTTTCTTTGCAGTGAACTTAGTTAACTTTATGCACAGTTCTACATCTCAGTTGCCCTGTAGGCTTGGAAATCCCTTCTTATATTCACATTTTTATATACTACAGTTTTATCTTTACTATAAGCTACATGTCAAACAGATCAACAATTTGGTGTGTTTAAACACAAAGGCAGCATTAGCTGTCTGTCTTAAATGGAACACGAAAAAAGACCCTCTAGGCTAGTAGAAGCTAACCGTTGGCATTAGCAACTCCACCACAAGGGAGAATTTCTTTAGAGTTGTGTTATTTGAGGAGATAAACATCAACATTGCAAGTCAGTGGTAGAGTTGCATTGCTGTTAGCCAATCCAATGCGAGATGTCCAAATATCAGGAAATAAGACTCTAAAACCTGCCGCCTGAACCTCAACTCTGATCTGACTCTCTTAATTCCTGAAACAGGCACATTGGAACTTTGTTTCCCCAGAGTATGACTTACAAGGCATTAATTCCTACTAGAGACCACTGCAAATGTATTGTTTAAATGAGTGAACCACACCTTTAATTTTTCTTGGTCAATGAAATGCAAACTTTTGCTTTAGAAAAGACAGGCAAAAACACCAGTTTGACTTGAATTTTAAAACTCTGACAGGAAACAATAGTTACAATTTTAAAGACACAATGTGTAGTTTTTACCATTTATTTCTGGAAATGGCCGTCAAAATGTTGTTGAAAATAAATTAAATGCTGCCCAGTTGTTGAAAATATTATCGGCTTTGTAACATAAAACCATAAAAATCAGGTATAAAATACACGGGAACGGGTCTAAGGGGTGTTTCTCAATGCCAAGGAACCTCGCCTTGATGTCTTGGCCCCGCCTCGGTTGCCTAGGAGATATTTCATCAGGAACCACCAAGACGTGTTCCAATGTTCGTGTTCTACCGAGGCGTTTGTTCTCCGTTTGTTAGCCGTTTAGCTAGCTGAGTAAGGATACACGGGAGGTGTCTTGTAGCCTAGCCTTGGTCAAAAATTACCCAGAATACACCGCTGTATTTTCAATAGCCGGCAGCTACCTCAGGGGCAAATTTCAAGTTTAAAAGTAAGTCAACTAATTTAAAATGTTTTTTTCAGATCCAAAGAATTTAGCTATGGTTGGTTGGATTCTAGTAGTTGCAGCTTCGGTGGCTAGCGGGTAGTAACTCACTTCTATATTTAATTTAACAAATATATACACAATTTAAAAGGTAAAAGGCTCATTATATTTTTATGTTGAAACTTATACATATAAAATATAATGTTATCTCCCGTGTCACACAATGTTACGTGACTGCCGCGGAAACCATGGTCACGTGATGCAAGTCAGTTCCATTTAACTGTTTTCTTTGAATAAGGAAGGGCAGTGTCTTCATAAGAAAGGCGCCTGACCTCGCAAGACATTGCCTCGCAAGGTCAGGCGCCTAAACACTGAGAAACACCCCACGTCTCTGGGCGA